AAATTTCGATGAATTTCCTCTTTCATTTCTCCGAATATTTGTCATAATGTTAAGAAAAGTTTCAGATTTTAGTCATAAAAAATTTAGCGTAATATTAATACATTGGTTGATACCAGGTAGAACAGAGTTGATTTGTCCCCAGTCTCTTCTCGTGAGAAACTTGTTAAAGACGACTGGTTCTCAGCATATTATTAAAACGACTCTAGGGATAAACGATAAATACCGTAATTTGGAAAAATTCATTGAAGTTCGCTTGCATTACGGGTATTCAAAGATCGGGGTAACAACAGTTTTGGAAAACTGTCGTAAATTTGATTTAATTATGACTGCAACTGACAGGTAGAGACAATCTTTAATTTATTTTCAAGAAATCAGTAAACTATTATGAAATGTAACGGACTTGCCACGGATAAAAAAATGTGACGGTTGATACCTCAAATACAAAAACTTCATAAGAGTAAAGCTGAAAATACCAGACAAAATATCGGCTTAATTGCTGCATTTTAACAAATGACCTCTAGGGTGTAGTTACGGACATGTTATTGATGGGACAGTTTAGTGGAAAGGACATTTCATAAACACTTATGGACATATAGTTGATGACATTTGGACGCTTTTGACAAAACGACAAGACACTGACACCCTGATCAGAGAATATCCACTTTTCATGGTTGCCACACTTAGGTAGCCTTCTTAGGGAGAGACCATTATTTTTTAAAAGCGGAAGAAGGGGCGATTTAGGCAGTTTCCGAAAAAAAAAATCGTGCAAGGGGAGCTATGGGAACAAAAACGAGCAAGTACCCTCTACTATCATTATTTTGATTTTTGATGTTAAAAAATTCTTGCACAAGCTATTACCAGCGAAAAAAGTCATGCACAATCTATAGGTGATAAAACATTTCATGCCCCAGAAATATACCAACCCCCCTCCCCACCCCTCAAGAAAATAATGGTCCGTCCCTTAGCAGACGCTCTTAAGGCTCGTCACGCCATCTTTCCTCCCCCATAAAGAAAGATTGCGTGACGAGGCCAAAGAGCATCTGCGTAGAGGGCGACAGTTCAGGGACAAAAAGGTCTGAATTATATGTTTGGGAAAAGTCAGAAAATGTTGATCCAGGTCTGGGTTATTGCGAATTGGAAAGGTCAGGGAAAAGCCATATCCTTCAAAAGGAAAAACTGAAATTCTTTCAACCGTTCAGTTTTGTTTCTGACTCTCCAAATGGAAGAAAAGATAACAGAAATGTTGCTTTTATCGTTTATACTACATAGTACCGTAAAAGCTCGGTCAGCCTCGTTTTCCAAAGGGACGGCTTTTTTCGAATCATACTGATCGCCTGTAGGCGACTGTTGCGATGGTGTGTTTTTTCTCAATTTCTTGGAAGAGTAAAGTAAAGTGTTTGATTTGGTGCGCTCTAGACAAACTAGAGTCACAAAGAATAGTTGATTGATACTG